AAACGGCTAAAGGGATCTAGATGTTTGCAAATATTTCGATAGAAGCATTAGCAGAAAAGCTTCATAAAACTTTAAAAATGAACAGCAGAACACGTCCAAATGTTAAAATGAATATTTGTAACAACATAACATAACGCTTTTTATCCCCGAAGGGGTAGGCAGAGGTGCACACAAAAGTAACACCCACTTTTCACTATTTATGTTATGAGTCCCATGTAATAGGGGGTGAGCCTATTGCTATATACGGGGCACATTTCCAGACTCAGTGCTACTACTGAGAATTTTTTTTAAAAACGCAGTTATACTGTGCTCGACCCGGGAATCGAACCCGAGACTCCTTGCCCGGCAGTCGCATTTGCGAGCACTCGGCCAACAAGGCAACTTATTGGTTTAATAAAGTCTTAAATCACCTTACGGGGAACACCTTATTATTTATCATTATTCACTTCAGCGGGCAAACGGATGTTATTTTTATGACTTTTAAACCAATTAAATAATACAATGGAAACTTTAATTTAAATTGATTCTGTGGCCACAGAACTTGGAATGCTTAATGGCATTTTTATAGTGGTCACTTTTTCTGAGAAAAATGAATCACAGATCATGTCTGTAGATACCATTTTTCCTGATACTTGTAATTGGGGACAAACCTTTTCTGCATTTAAATGAAAGTAGTTCTCAGTACCGACAATTAAGTTCGAAATTCTTTGAAATGAAATGAAAGATTTTTTGTGAAATGATATTACACGAATATTGATACGTCGATGTCATAAGTATTTTAAATTGAAATGTGATAGGCATTTCCTAATTTAAATTTAAATGTGATAGGTAGGCATTTCCTGACTGAATAATCTGAGAAATAACCCCAAATCAAGGTCAGAGATCACATTTCTTTGAAAATAAACAAAGTCGTTGATCCAGTAATACAACAACAGATTTCATAATCCCATTAACTATCTATCTCTAACCGAAATCTCATCAAAACCGAGTTTAAGAGTAAAAACAAATGAACAACAATTGGGCTCTCACTTAACCCGCACAAGTGTGGAACCGGTTGCTTAGGCAAAGTCAAAAATAATCAAATAAGCATAAATTAATAGGTCTTTACACTTGTAGTAGACCTACTTTTGAAAGGCCTTAAATTTAAAATTAACATATTGCTTACATTATTTTAATTGGCAATGAACTGCATTCACCATAACATAGGTTAAGCTACGCTTGCCAAGGTTGGTGTGTGGACGGGTGATCCATCATTATATCAAAAAATTAAAATACGTGTAGGAGTGCCATGCTACGGCACTAACAGGCCGTTTCAACCGGAGTGATATCATGGTCGTCATAGGAAACTGGCGTGACTTAATATCCTGTGTCCCCTAAATGGGGCAGAGGGCGTCCACTGAAGTTCTGTCTTGAGCTTCACGCTTCACCTCACTTCACGTCATACCGATGCTCGTTGCTTCTGCCAGTACCATGCGACGCATGGTTTGCCGAGGACGGCCACCCTCTGTCCTTAAGGTTATTTTATTTTCAATCTCTTTGACTGGATTTGGGTGTTGCATTATTCTCACACAATGTAACTAGAAAACTATGTAACTAGAGGATTGTATTGTAAACCCGATTGAGAAAGAGTAACCTATGGAGTTTCTTGCTCGTTCTTCTCCATTGGAATCTATACCTTAGAATTAGCAAATAGCTTCACTTCTAAATTTTTATTGTTGACGTTCAAAAGTGCCTTTCTGGTCTTATTGAAATAAATGATTTTGTCTTGACTCTCTTTTCCCTTGGGGATTCCAGTCCAAGACTTGCTTGGTCATGTGGCGTGAAACAATCAAAACGTTGTGTTTCGCCATGTCACTGAAATCACCAGAAACCCAAACCCATACTTCACATCACATCAACAGCCTATAAGTGGCTACTGTTGACCAATGACCTCTTCTCGCACGGAGACGATTTGAGCATTAAACACCACGCTTGCCGAATATGGGTTTAGGTGATAAAAAAATTATAATCAGAAATTATAAGCCCAGGTTTTTCGTCAAGGGCGCCAAGTCTTAAATAGTACATGTAACTCGGAAAAAGGCCTATTGGCACTTGCCGTTTGTAGATTCCGAACACGCACTCTCATGCATAATATAAGCAGCGGGCATCTCAAACCATCGAGCTACCACGACCTTACCCCATATTTAATAGGCTCCGATTCTCCCACCAAAAGCTGGCCCGTAACGCACTTATAACCTCCTGGTGTTGGGGGATTCCATAGACGATGCTGATTGTTTGACTGACACAGGTGTCCAATTAAAAAGAGGCAATTGGAAGTCGGTTAAGTAGTTTCAAACTTATTGACATGCAAACAAACAAACAATATATTAATACTATTAACACAGATAATTGTCGCTTTATCTTAGGTATATTTAATATTCATTGCATTTAAAATAAATAATTATTTATAAACTAGCTACTTCCGCGCGGTTTCACACGCTCTGCTCAGTTCCTATTGGACGTAGCGTGATGTTTTATAGCCTATAACCATCCTCGATAAATGCGCTAACCAACACAAAAGAATTATTCAAATCAGACTTGTAGTTACGGAGATTAGCGCGTTCAAACAAACAAACAAAAAAACCAACTCTTCCGCTTTATATAATAGTATAAGATAAGAAAACGAGAACAAAATTAATTTTAATATTTGAAATCGCCTGCCTCGAATCGATGGGCATCGGGTACGTACATGTTCCGTGTTAGGAAATCGAAAGCATTGTTGAGATCCTTCTTCAAATTTCCTTGTGCGAACCGCTAAGGAATGGAATTCGTTGCCGGAATCTGTGTTTTCCAACATATACCTATAACTTGTGTGTCTTCAAGTCCTGAGTGACCAGGTTGCTCGTAGATAGGCGTGCTCTATCGTTGGCCACATCATCGCTTACCACCAAACGAGATGGTGGTCAAACGTCAACCTATCAAGTATCAAGGAACCTCCTTTTTTGAGGGGTGAAAATTATCCAATGACTTCTCCTGCATGCGGTTAAGCGAGAAAGAATATCGGACTCTTACTGATTAAAAACTACCCCGTCCCAACTCCTGCTTTGACCCGGAGCCCTGGTAACCCGTTATGTTGTCAGCAGCTCCGGAATGAGCATGAAGGCTGGAATTATGCCCAGTATATGGCAATAGATGACCTATTGCTCCCCATTACATGGACGGTGGGACCATGACGGGACTCAAGACATAACTGGTGTAACATTCGACAAGAACACAACTGCCATAATATTCTCTTTTTAAAAAAAAAAAACGTTGCCCCACATTAGGATTTTCTCCTGTGTCGTGTGTGCGTTAACAAACATACAAGTTCACATACACATGACACTCAGACCCGGAACAATATCACTATCATTAATCGGGGATCAATGTTATGATATTTATAATAACATAACATCACGCCTTTTATCCCCGAAGGGGTAGGCAGAGTTGCACATTATGCCACTGTACAATGTAACATCCACTTTTCACTATTTCAAAGTCAAAGTCAAAGTCAAAGTCAAAATCCTTTATTTCAATTAGGCCAGAATGGCACTTTTGAACGTCAAAATAAAAATAATATTAAAAGTGAAGCTATTTGCTCATTCCATGGTGTAGATTCCTATGGAGAAGAACGAGCAAGAAACTCTATAGGTTACTCTTTTTCAATCAGGTTCACAATACAATTTACTAGTTACATAGTTTTGCTGTTTGGATTGTGCGAGAACAATGTAACACCGAAATCCAGTCAAAGTTATGAGTCCCATATAATA